ACCAGTCATTGATTTGAGTAACTTTTTTGGCATTTGTTTATAAAGTGTTCTATTTCTACAATATATGTTGTAAAAACGTCTTAGTGCTGCCCTCTTCAGGTTGAACGGAGGCTACTGCAGTTGAATTTTCCTATTGGATGGTTGCGGTAGTACGTGACGCAGCGGTTGTTGGTGACGTAGGCAAGTTCCATACAAAGAGATGCGTCTCAGGTGCACGCCCCCCTCCGCTGGGCTTTGCCCACTTTTCCAGCATTTTTCAAATATTGCCAGTGGGTGGAGTCAGGCTCTGACCAGGGGTTTAGTTACCCTTTAATAACAATAGCAATAAAAGATTTGCTTGTTTTTTAGTCACTGTACTCGGTGGTTTTCAGTGAATGCTTGTGCACTAATGCATCATTTTTCCTGTCCTTTTAATCAAGTCTGTTAGCTTGCTGCGTACCTTAAGCTGCGTTTTTTAAGTTAAAGGTGCAATATGTAATAATTTTGAGTATCTATTCACAGAAATGCAATGACATCCATAACTATGTTTACAGTGGTGTATAAAGAACTTAATAAACCATAACGTTTTTACTACCTTAGAATGAGAGATTTATATCTACATAACCGCAGGCACCCCCTTCTATGAAGGTCGACATATTGAGTCGCCATCTTTCTACTTTAGCCGTCAGCGAACAAACAGCGCTGCAGAACCACCTCAGCCACAGTAACAGCTTATATTAGCCAGCTAAACTTTTACTACCCTGTTAGAAAATATGTAGTGACATTGTTTCATGTGGTTCTTCTCCCTCGCTGTATTATGAGCTTGCTATGTGGGGAGAAATGTGCTGCTGGTTACGTTTGTGAGACAATCAGCTGATTACTATTATTATATTATAGATTAAGACCCTTGATTCTCACCTGACTATGGCTTTGTAAACTTTATCTATGATGTGGTTTATAATGGACTGTGGTACAGAAACAGTGACAATGTTACACACTCTTGGCTTACTCTGGCCATCCTCTGCTGTCTCAGACGACAATATGTTTGTCCCATTTTAGCCATTACCATTAAAATAATGTAAATGTTGATATTAGTAAAACTCAATGTGTGGCTTTTGCAATTTTTAAAGTACACTTTAACACAAATACACTGATTTTGGGTTTTTAGTTAATTAAATCAAATTGAATTTATCCATTTAATAGAAAAGAAATCTCAATTGATCGATTATCAAAATAATAGTTAGTTGCAGCCCTAATTATATGAACAGATATACAACGCTCACCTGTTTGTTGAACTGCATGATACCTAAGGTGGGGAACACCCAGGCACTAGCAGGAGGGATGATCTCAGAATCAGCAAAACTGACCCACTGCAGCACCTGGGCACTGGCCTGGGGTGTGCTGCCACGAAGGGCGTCACTGCTCACTGTCGGGACACACATCAGCATTGGTGGTGTGCAATAAAAAGAAGAAAACATAATGGGCTCACTTACAATTGGCCACTTCATGCATGAAGACCTGGGGTCTCATTTATAAAGATGTGCATATTATAATCCTAATTGTCAATTCATTCAGTTAACGTACACCCTGAAATTAAATTAATTCAGACTGCAGACTAAGCAACGTAATTGTACAATTATAACATAGTACAGACATGATCTAAATTCTATAATGTCCTTAAACATAATGCGTCAGGCCATAAACTGACAAAGTGCGCATCCAGCGTGCGATACCTTAAGTTGTCATAGACGTGACGCTGCACATCTCATCCGGTGCAACCCCCTTTATATTATTGGCACGATAAAAAAAATAAAAAAAACATGTGACAGCCATGGGCTGAACACAAGTTACCAGTAATATCCATCGAGCCAATGAACTTGTTGCCCGAAACACATCAACAAGAAAGAATGAAGGCTACCCTGTAATACAACTGCAATCATGCGATACAAAATGACCACCTCGATGCTCCCTCTGCATGTATAATTCTGTATCAACAACGCAGAAGTATAAATGAAAACCAACGCATAGTATATAGCGTAAAGGCTCCGCCATAGGTCTGACGCAAAAGTATAAATCAGCCTGAAATCTCTTGCGTATGCAATCTGCACCATAGAACTAGCTTAAAACAGACGATCAGAAGATTAAATACAACCCGAAACAAAAACAAAAAAACAGACCAGGCTACTATTAGGCATGTTAAAGAGACAGGTGTCTATTTGGGATTAAATTTACGGTATGCAAAATACAATTCTCCCAAAATGGTAAAAAAATAAAGGTGTGAGAGAATGTTATATCAGCTCCTGGCTACCAGATGATGATACTGAGGCACGCAACTTCACAGATACGGTGCGCCACAAATCAGCATCTCTCTTCAACAAGCCGCAAAATGGCCACGAATGAAACTCAACATTCAGCAGCCTGCCTAAATCAATAAAATGAGGTGAACACGAAATTCTCCGACCAGAGCTAATGCCGCTCTCTCCAATTGCAGCCACTGCTCTTGAAATTAGATAAATAAAATGCATTTGGGCAAGTGGAAACGGAATTTTTTTTATCAAACCGGATAACTTATCCAATAAAAGAGAATGCATGAAGAGGCCAAGTGTAAATATGCACTATGAAGCTTACTTACAGTAGTGAGCAATGGCATTGCTCTCAAACAGACAGAAGCCATCATCACCCTGGTAAGCAGGAACCTAAAATTGTAAAAACCACAACAACGAATTAATTCAACATGAAGAACATATGCAAAAAAAAAAAAAAGAAAAAAGAAAGAAAGGAACACTGACCTTGCCCAAGGGAAAATTGCTAAGGAAAGCAGGGGATCGGTTCGTCTGCCCAAAGGTGAAGGCAGGGGGGGCGCTTGAAATCTTCAGACGAGCCCCACTGTACTGGGCAGCAATCTGAGCCTTAAAGGCCCTCCAGTTTTCTGGGTATGTGTAGAGAGTCTGCAAAAACAAGGTTTGAAATCAGATAGCTTAAGTTAATGCAGCTTGTTCGGCCTCCATCATCTATTAGAGAGAGTTAAAACACAAGCTGTCCCCTTCATTTAGACCATTCATAGAGCATTACACAGCACTTTCCACAAGCTGATGCAGCTGACAGTGAATTCCCTGCAATAAAATTACTTCACTGGTAGTAAACAATGTTTGAATAATCAAATAGGGGGTTGCTAGTGGCAGAACTAACAAACCAGATGGTGTTGCAGTGACATTTATTTGTAAACTATTTGTTATTGTTAATCTTTTAAACCTCTGATTGAGATTTTAAAGAGTCTGAAAATGTTTGACACGAACACTAAATTTCTGAATATGACGTGTAAATAGTTAAAACGGAAAACGTTTTACTTTTTCTTACTTGCACAATGAATGCATAACTATAACTGACTACGGTTTCTACTATATCACACTGGTCATTTATCCTCTTGACCTTTACAAAATGCAAGTAAAACTACAAACATGACATTCTCATTTTTACAAAATGAATTAAGCGGAGAATGAGGGGCAATGGAAGGAAAGACAAGGGAAACGTGGCACAAAGAACGCAGTGCTGTACTTCTGCCCGTCATCACACTAACCACCTTATAAAGGGGTGTGGGGAGTATTTACAACTAAAATAATCATCCTAACAGCTTCATGAGAGACTACAAAATAATACGGTATGGAAACAACGTACAAAGATATAAGGATTAGAGTGATTGGGGTATGATTGTGGAGAGAGATGTGCTGTAATAAGGCATATAAGGGTTTTCTCCCATCTTACTCACCCCTGCCGCCATCTTCAGGACTAGAGAAAGGAGGAACGAGTTGCGCGGTGCTGACGTATAGGCCCGTCCAGGCGCAGAAATAATACGTCATGAAGGCGTGAAAGTGAGAGCTGGACGACGTTTTTTTTCTGGTTTTCTCTTTATAAAATGTAATCTGAAATTGTCGCTGAACGATTTATTTATTTTTGACAGCAGCCATATTATATCTTTTTTTTACTTCTATATTTTCTTGTTTTGCATTACAAAATTCATTCAAAAGAACAAGAATTTGTTCTCAACACTTTGCCTAGATTTGATGTTTCTCATACTGTAAAATCGCATAAACTCATAAATAATAGTATGAATGACACATTTCTTAAGAACTATGAAATGTTTCCTTAACTATGAAATAACTTTTTCCTTGTTCTTTGTATTTCAGATGCAGATGTTTGTTTCTTATTTGCAATAAGGGGAAATTATATTTCGATGTTGTTGTTGTTTTTTTATAAAAATCCTGTATTTATTATTCTAACAAAGTATTGAAATTAAATCATCTAATGACGGATCCATCCACACATCTGCTTTTGTAATCCAGTGGAAAAATACAGGCTTGGAATACCAAGGTGAGAAAAAAAAATATTAAAACTTATTTGGAATTCAAAATACTTTCGTATCAATAACAGCCTAGTACTCTCACCTGAAAACAAATGACCATGTTTAAACCCAATCTACAGATTTCCTTGCAAATCAAAATGTAAATAAAAAAGTCTATAGATTCTGTCTAGGCCTGCATGCCTAACTTATTTATTGAACTACATGTAAAATCATATTTAATGGACTTAAATACACTTGCTCAGATATTTTTGTTGAAAATGAATTTCTGTGAATGGACCCCGTTTTGAGATTTAATTTTAATGTTGTGCAACATTAAATATGATCAAGTTTGTCATTTTGGGTGGGATGTTGCAATTTTCTTTCTAACTAAACATGTTGACAATTTAAGAAAAAAAATATATTAAAAAGTAAAATACTTAAAGTTATAAGTAGTTTCAGAAAAGCTGTGAGCTTTTGTGTGACAGGCATGATATGAGGTTTCAATAGCTGATATTTTCCTGTCAAAATTGTTGCTATGATATGTTGTAATTAAAGTGGTGTGGAATCAAAATATTAGCAAAAATAATCGATGTACACTGTGTAATATGTATTAAGTAAAGTAAATATCTTTGCTTAATATGAAACAATATCAAAATAGACAACAAAACAGACACGGTAGAGATACGGTCAAAATTGTATGAGTGCTGTATTACAAAAGAATATCGAACAAAAGGCTGGCTAGCATTTACAAAAAATAATTCTAAAAATGACCTTATATAATAATGAGATTGAATAACTTCTAAAAACAACGTGATGAATGACTCCTTCCAAAACGTGATTGTAAACTGCTTACAGAATCTTCCAACAGCCGGAGAACTCTATATCCCTCTTTTCTCTGCTGCCTCACTATAAATGAAATGGTACAAAATCTGTCCATCATGTAGAACCACAGCAACATTTTGGTCCCATTCGACTTGATGTTTCACAAAACAAACTGTTGTAATGGGAAAACTATAGATATACCAAAATGGGGATAAAAAGAGACCATAAAAAAATCTAAATACAGTATATACAAACTACATAGCATCCTCACACCATCAAGTTTAATATTTCCCATATTCTTGACAGAAGAATCAGCTCACAAGACCTAGAAGTATAAGAGTTACACTTTTAGACAATGGTTGGATAGCACAACATAACTTAGACATAAAATGTATAGCACAGCTAACTCCAAGCCTCTGACAGTAAACAAAGAGCTGTGACAGAATACATTTAGCATAGGAAATACATACCCAGGTAGTCATCCATTAGAGATCCAATGGCAAACTAATAAAAAAAGAACAAAAGATATGATCAAAAACAGAAGAAAATATTTGTACTACCAATATAGAATATTATTCAAGAGAAAGTGCCAGGGATTTACAATATCATTCTTATCCACTCGAGTTCCCACAATCTTCAGTCGAATTTCATCATCTTGTTGGATGACAATGTCCTGTTTAAGAAAACACATTTAAATGTTCGATATTTATTTGTACATATGAGGATTAAAAAATCCTTTCAACAAAGATTTCTTATCGGTGATTTATAGTCTTACCTCATCAACTGTCTTATAGCATGGAGGATTTGAGTTTGGGTCAAACTCCATCTCAGAGGGAATAGACTGGACATAGAAATATCACAGATATAAGACAACTACAAGTGACACTGAATATTAACTTTTTTTTATGTTCATGGAAAACCTACATGACGAGAAATGAAGCAGGACATGGGGCCAATTTCTGTAAAGAGCCCGACCTGGAGAAAGAAAGAAAAAATACAGTACTGAAGACTATAAAAAAAATCAGTAGCAGGGACAATGAGATGTATTAATACTGTACAAATGATCACTGTGCATGCAAGTTATTTTTACCACATTGAGTCACACTGGAGTAGGATACGTGAACTAATGAATATCCAAAATTAATCAAGCACTAGAAGACAATAAAAATGGACTCGTACTTTGTTAACTTGAGTGACAACAGCATCCACAACTTCCCCCTTGAAGGGACGGAATACAATGGCTTTGTATTTGACGGGATACAGCACAAAACCTCTGCCAGGCTGTATTACACCTGCTCCAATATTATCGATTGTGGTTACTGCAATAACAAAGCCATACCTGTGAAACAAAAGAGAGACATTAGAATCTCATATTTCATAATATTCATTACTTGAAGAATTAAGTTCTCAACAAGATCTCAAACCCTTCTGTTGGACTTACTTTCCTGTACATGTTCCCTCCACCTCAGTGAACAGTTTCTGCTTTACTGTGTTCAAAAGGTTAGGTCCAAAGTATCTTGGATGGAGGAGAATCTCATGCTCCAAAGAGATCTATTGTGATGGTTATTGAGAAAAAAACAACAAGCTACATGTCATTAAGGTAATGAATGTACATATAAGTTAACGCTACAAACAGAATCGGTTTAAATAAACTCACTGTATTAACAATAACATGTTAGACTGACTTTGACTTTTAATAAATTACGGCAAGTAAATATATCAACACTATATTCACATCAAAATGACGAGACTTTTAAAACCCAGCGAGTGTGCAAAAGTTAGCCGAGACAAAACACAAAACTGAACATATGACATTCTTGGTGATGATGATGAGGTTCATGTACACCCAAATATAAAGAAATTACAGACTTACATGATAAAACATCTCTAAACGAGTTTTATCTCACAAATGTCTTAGTTTTATATTAAAAAAGCCGCAAGGATTGATTTCTGCGTGTCAAGGCGCCGACCCTCAAAAAGAACCAAGCTAAAATAGCGTTTCCGGGTGATCATGACTTCAAATTAAGAGTCACATGAAGACTTTTATGTTAAAAAAAGATGGTTTTACTTCATAAATTGTTTAACCCCTTTGGTTAAATAAATATTTTGTGAGCTATTTTGTTTTATTAAACAACTATTTACTATTTATTAAAAAACTCTGATTTATGTGATTTTATACTTTACTAGAAATAAACATCATTAAAATAGCCTACGTTTATTTAAATGCATTTCTGTCATGCTGTATAAGGGGTCCAAATGATGTTACCTCTTTAATTAATAGTTCAGTCCACAATTCCATATATTTCCACAAATGCTACGTTTTATGTAATTAAAACTAGCTAATAACTAAAATAATGTTTACATATTGATTGAAAGGCCTACACCTTTTTAGGCGAGTTAGACGTTTGATGTGTTTGAACTAGATTATTTTAATGCTAAGTTAATTTTATTTATTTATTTATTCATTTATAACATTTAATTGATCTCACAGCAAACATATTTTTCAATATTTTACTTCTAAAAAGTGCATCAGTACTCATATATTGCAAAACATGTTTTGAATGGCAATGTTTGCTGCGCATATAACATATAACAAAGTGATATATTCATTCTAAAAGTATTTTAACATAACGGTAGCCTAAAGGTAGAATTTCATCAGCAATCACTCATTTTGTTGTTTCCACAAAATCAAGATTTTTACTTGATTTAATCCATTTTAAAAGGGCTACTTTGTCTCGAGAATCTTGTTCTCTGACACACAGAATGCAAGACAAAACTTGAACACAAGATGTCACCATAATTCCAAACATATTCAACGTGTAGCCAGTGATGGGATTTACAGTTTTTCTCAATCGTTTTGGCTCAGTCAAATGTCGATATTTGTTCTCAAAACAATAAGTTTGAACGGTTAGATACTTGATCACATCATATTTTAATTTCTTATGGATTTGATTTAAGCAAATTGCTTGAGTTTTTGGCACATGTGTGCAAGAGAGTACCAATCTAATTTGCAATGCGTGTTGAAACTGATGAGTTTATTCTCAAACTCTTCACAAATTCTAAACATTATTTCATCATGTGAGCCTTCACATGAAAGATGATCGTGCATGTATGACATTGAATGTTTGTAACCTGCTAAATTGGCAACTGGCCTGTCGTTGTAATGAAATGGCAATCACAATTTTACCATCAACCAATCAGGTTTGGAAACAGGCAGGCGGTTACGGAGTTTGTCCAGCAGGATCAACATCACAACTCTAAACAGCAACATCAGATTATTTTTGTACAATGTGTTATATAAGCTGAAAGTTCACAGTTGCTTGTCATGGAAGAATAGCTATGAATAGGGGAAGACATAAGAGTGTGTAAAAATGAACAAGCAACTGTGCATTTTCAGTTTAGGTAACACATTTGTACAAAAATAAATGCACTGTATAAATCAGTCCCTCTTTATATTGGTTGTCTTTAACCACCATTTACTAAAATTCAAATTAATGATACAATGCACATATTATGTACATATATATATATTAAATTTACTAAAAATTACTGAAATCTGTATTTAAAAAGCATTTAGCATTCAGCTAGACAAAACAGACATTTTTGTATAAAACAGACAGTGTCAACTGAAGAGTAGAAATATGAAATTTGTATATTTCATAGTAAAAACAAACAAACAAAAAAACATAAAAATATTGACCACTACAGCTGATACATTTTGACCAGTACACATGATGACAAAAATACTTCTTATTTTGGGGGGCATTGGCCAATTTACTTTCTCACTAGGTTTTGAAGCATGAATTAAATTTGTTGGGTAAGTTATATTTTGCAGACATGCCATAGAGTGCCAGCAAACAGTTGTGACATTTACACGTATACATGCAGCAAAGTTGTGACATGTTGTGTACACTTGCACTTTAAGGAATGTTAAGACTGTTTCGAAAGATGTGCCAAAGCGATTGAGAAAAAACTGTAAAGTGCTTTCTATCAGAGCAAGCAGACCGAGTGCAGTTTGCCTATAGGTTTGCCAAGGAACAAAACTAAAATATGTGTCTAATATGAGGACATCCTGAAAGTATACTTCCAGTTTGTTTCTATTCTGTTGCTTTAATATAGCAAGTTTTAAAAGCTTCTCTTTCACAAGCAAATAAAAGCAAATGCGGTGGAGTGCTATAGATCAGACTGTCTCACTATTGTTGCTGAGGCAGGTCAGATACCCGAGGACTAAAGCCATGCATGCTGATGAGCATGGGCAGATGTCCACACATATCTGAGCATGGTGGATGGGGTTTGCATGATGCATAGTCCAAATCGAAGACGGTCCTTGGGGACTTCTTCCTGTTGTCCGCACCACATTCTCGAAGAGAGCTGGCACTCATTGCATTAACCTTGATATTAAGAGAGAGAGAGAGAGAGAGAGAGAGAGAGAGAGAGAGAGAGAGAGAGAGAGAGAGAGAGAGAGAGAGAGAGAGAGAGAGAGAGAGAGAGAGAGAGAATGCTTGCAGATGTCCTCACAGTCACAAGTTCATGGCCTTCATGTTGTGGATTCATTTAAATCAAACCCTTATACAGCAAGTTATCAAGTTATACAGCAATTTCTCATTTCAGATTGGTGCTATCTTAACTTCCAATTCAAAATGCCTTAAAAGGATAGTTCACCCACAAATTATGGGACTTACTCAACCTCGGGTTGTTCTCAACCTGCATGAAGTTCTTTCTTCTGCTCAGCATAAACAAAGATATGTTGAAGAATGTTGGTAACCAAATGGGTTTTGGTCCCCATTGACTTCCATAGTTTTTTTGGGGAGTTCTATACAGAAGTTAATGGGACCAGCAACAGTCGGTTTTCAACATTTTTTAAAACATCTTCTCTTTATGTTCAGCAGAAGAACGAACTTCGTGCAGGTTTAGAAGGATGAGTAATGAGAAATTTTGAGAGAACTATGCCTTTAAGGCAGTATTTGACAGATATATAAGATAGATATATTAAAGAGATAGTTCACTTTAAAATTGATTTTTGGTATGCTTTTAATTTACATCAAGGGCATCCGAGATGTAGGTGTCTTTTTTTCCGCAGTAGTTTCAATTTTGATATTTTTAGGTCAAACCGTTCTTGTCTGTCAGTCATATAATGGAGGTCTATGGTCACCACCTCAAAGAGCATGCACAGAGAAGTCCAAATTATACATGATTTAATGACTCGTAAATGTAAGTACACATTGATGGCCTAAGACACGAAACGAGCGGTTTGTGTGAGAAAAGTATTTATATCGTTTTTATCTCAAGTTACCACAGTCACAAAACGCCTGCGCCCTCAGATCACTTGGACGTGGTTGTGATTACAAGAGGTAAAAGCGATATAAATAATGTTCGTTTTCTCACACAAACCGCTCGTTTCGTGTCTTAGGCCATCAATGTGTACTCACATTTACGAGTCATTAAATCATGTTTAATTTGGACTTCTCTCTGCATGCTCTTTGAGGTGGTGACCACCTCCATTATATGACTGACTGACATACAAGAACTGTTTGACCTAAAAATATCAAAATTGAAAATACTGTGGAAACAAAGACACCTACATCATGGATGCCCTTGAGGTAAGCTAAAACATATCAAAAATAATTTCAAAGTGAACTATCCCTTTAAGATGATATTTTACAGATATAAAGGCATTTGGGCAAGCTCTGTGGAACTAATAATAGACAGGTCTACATAGAAAAGTATATTTTTGCATTTATTTCTTTACATAAGTATTGCTGAAGAACATACTCACTTAATCACTTTCTTTGAACACATGTAAGCAAACCTACAATTGTTGTTTATTCCCCTTTCATTGTGCAACATGTGTTTCGACCAACACGCTGTGTTCAGATATATTTCTCTTGTGTCGCTTTTGTTTTTTTGAAAGCAAAGCCCTTCTCCAGTGTTGATCCGAGTGCTCTCAGAGCCGATGGAAAGAAAACCCCAGTTCCTGAGCTCCAGCTCACTCCTTTCCTTCCCCCTCTCCCCCTGCTCTCGCCAAAGGTAGCTTTCAGATGCAAAACAAGCGGACATATGGAGAGGAGGTCTTTCTCCAGCCCTCCTAAAGATTCAGATTGTATGACAAATCACGTCCACCACCACCCTCCCAACCCCACACAGAATCTGCAGACAACAGCTTCATTAGAGTGAAAGAAGGAGTTTTTGCAGCTTTGTCGAGTCAAGCTCAGACTTCTTTCCCTTCTCAATTACTCCATTGTTGGCTGGAGATTCAAGTTATTGCACTCAAAACCATATGGCTGATTTGAACACCTACAAGTGATGCCATCACCCGAACAACCCACGTTTCAGGGGGGGATGCACATGCCACATCTAGAAATAGAAATAGACTGCCATGGCACGTTTTTTCTTTAACAAATGGATGTGTTGACTTGCAGTCCGGCAGGACTACTAAGTGAAAAGCCGAATGCGTGGAACAGTCTGGCGGCGAGGTCAGGTGTATGGACTTATCATTAGTCAGGGAATCGCTGTGTACTTCCTCCCTTTTACGGTGATGTGGCTTGTGCAAAGCTTCTTCTCATTTTACCAAAGAGTTGCCCTGGTTACTTTCAAATATAAAGTCTTTAGAGACACAGCTCTCATTGTTAGCACTGATGCTGGGTAAACTAGAGGTAAATTATGCACTTGCACAAACACACGAAGACAAGTGAATGCCCCACCGTAGGGTTTGTATTTAGAATTGGACGTCTGATTGATAGTACTAGGTTCACGAACTGGTACATTATGTGTCTGACTCACAAAGACAGCCGAAAATTTACATTCACATAGCTTGTAATGAGATTCCATTGCATTTTGATAATGGCACCTGTTCTGAAATCTTGTATGCACACAAAAACATATTCCAGGTATATCTGGCAAACAAGTTTGAAACCATTAAAATATTTTCAAGGTTTGTTATCACAACATTTTTTTTTTCTTTTGTCAAATCAACTTAAATTATTTATTTAGTT